CGCTCAGCTCTTTTCTGATTTGATCGATGCCCAGTGATACCGCGCGGTCCACAGACAGCATAATAGATGAAAGAAGTGCAGCCACAGCCTGAGCAATTTTGTCATATTGATCTGCTGGGACCTGTGGTTCCTGAGTCGCTGTGGCTGTGTGGTGCTGTGTCTGTCTCCATGCCATCGGACAGGAGGGAGAGCTGCACATGTTGGGCCTCGGTGTACAGAGCCGGGTGGAGCAGGCAGAAGGTACCGCTCCATACAGCGGGGGACCGGGATGCAGGGGTTATGCGTGGGGGGGCCTGGAGTGCGAGACCCAGAAGAGGGGAGCCAGTGTTATATGCCAGAGGACCCGGAGCCGCGAGTCCCGTGTCCCTCACATGTGAAGCCGGAACCGGAAGTCGAGCTCAATTCTTTAAGGACCCGTGGGTGTATGCCATCCAGTCCCAGGTACTTTATTCACCTTTATACTGTCTAAATATTTTTGGATCATATCAATTGTGAGCCAATGTGGATCATGTGGAGCTGTGTTAATACCATGCCCATTATGGACAAGAGCTCTTTCATGCTCCTTTGTATACACAGAGCTGAAGAAGGTATTAAATAAGTTTGCCTTCTCTTTGTCCCCAGTCACCCACTCTAGATTATTTAGTAAAGGGCCTACATGCTCGGACCGAACCTTTTTACTATTAATATATTTGAAGAATTTTTGGGGGTTGGTCCTGCTATCTTTTGCAACCTGTCGTTCATTTTCCATTTTTGCGGCCTTTATTTCCTTTTTGCATATTCTGTTATATTCTTTGTAATGTTTAAACGATGATAGTGTTCCTTCATTTTTATATTGAATGAAAGCTCTTTTCTTATTATCTATAGCCTTTTTAACTTTGGCCGTAAGCCACATAGGTTTGATTTTTAGCCTTTTAAACTTGTTGCCCATGTGAATATATTTTGCAGTGTATTCACATACAGTCTTTTTAAAGAACTCCCATTTCTGTGTTGTGTTCATCAATGCCAATATTCCCTCCCAGTCTAAGTCTTGGAGAGCAGCTCTGATCCTTGGAAAATTAGCTCTTGAAATTGAGCGTTTTTACTTTTCTCGTATGTCCTTGCTGTTTACAGCGAACAATAAATGAAATCATGTTATGGTCACTGCTACCCAGATTGTAGAATTTTCTGAGACACAATACTTCTTTAGTGTCTATAGGCGATTTTCAATGATTATAGAGCCGTTAAAATAAAAAATAAAGTGTGATTTTATTTTATCACACAATGGCTTAAAATAACAAAGTAAAGCGTGTCATGAACAGTTCTAGGAATATCAAAGCAGACATTTAAAGATGTGTCACCCTTATGTCCGGTATCTCATGTGCTTCTTCCATGTTCTGTTTGTCCTTCAGAGTCTGTGGGAAGAAGCCATAAGTAGATGGAAGTGACTAATTCTTGTCCTAGAGAATGCACCTGTTCCAGCCTGTCACTTCTTTGATTAACCATAGCATCTTTATGCTATGCTTGTGCGTGTGTGTCTCTTCAGTGTGTATGAGTGTATGTCTCTCTGTCCGTGTCTTAGGATGCCTTTTTATGATGCTTGTATGCATCATAATCCGTGATCTTAGAAGATTGTATGGCAAACAATACTGCTTAGAGCAATTTCATTGAAGGGAGGGGACATTACTTATATGGTCTTTTGATTGACAGGCCCATATGTTGTGAACATAAATTGACCATGTTACTTCAACCTGCTCATGTTTAAATGATAATATAAATTAAAAATATATATCTTTAAAACATCTCAATAATGTTGTATAACCAGAAATCTACATGTTACAATATTACCAACTTATAAACCAAACTAAATACGCACATATACTATTAGAATACATTATGTCATACTTATTCTATTTTGGTTTACTCCATGACATTCTACACTAGAGTTTTCTAACCAGCTATGCCCTATTATAGAATACTTAGCTCTCAGCTGGTTAGCTAGCTCAGCTTATAACTTCTATCTCAGCTTAACTGAAGAAATGAACACTTACACTGGTTCAAGGCCATTCTCACATTTTAATATTAATTATGATTAATCATAAAAACCAAATATTTTGCAAGATTGCCATCAATATAATATAAGTGCCGAATTATGAATTTGATATAATATTTATCACAGATGTTCTTTTATATGGACATTCATAATAAGCTCTGCATGGTTTCCGATTACCAGGTCCAGCAGAGCATCATTCCTAGTAGGGGCCTCTATGAACTGTACCATAAAATTGTCCTATAGTAGGTTTAAAAATTTTGCCCTTTAACTGTTCCTGCAGTACCATTACTCCAGTCAATTTCTGGGTAGTTAAAATCCCCCATCCCCCAGACAGCTAAATTGTGTTCTGCACATGCTCATTTCTATCCCTGCATAGACGTTGGAAAAGCGTCTAGTTCTTGACTGTCATAAATTGCCTTAAAAAACAATTTTTTACCCATTGAAAACATTTTTTGAAACGTAATATATTGTTTAAAGTGAAGTCCAGATATTTTGGGAAAGAAAATTTCAATGTGAACATGTTTCTGCAGTCATTTTGTTTTGTTAGCTGCTAGGATGTCTGCTTTTTTAGACTGATTCCTGTATTGTGCCTAGTTAGTAAATTCGCTTTCGAGTCTACTGGCTAGACTCTCTTTAGTAAATGTCTTTACCGTCTAAAAGTAGACGGACTCTAATGAAAAGTGGATCATAGCGTCCATCGATCACCTCGCCTTTCATAATGTCACAGTGTAAACAGTTGAGAAACTGACCTTGAGGGATCCTGGCCTCTGCATCCAGAGGGGGCTGGAGCTCCCCTAGAGCAGCCCGTGCATTCTAAGGTAAAACTATATAAAGAGTAAAAAAAAGAGCAAGTAAAGATATGAGCCCTAACATTAAGGAAACAAATGGATGTTAAACAATTACGTAGTGCAGGCCTCAAGTAGTTAGCCCTAGCCAACATAGCAAAGTCCTCTTTTGGTTTGGGTTACTAAACTAGATGACCAGAACCAGAAGGGCTTTAGGTCAAATTCATTTGGGCACTTGTTGGCACCCACACTACAGCAAGCTGCTCATATCCTACAATGCTCACATACTCTCTAGCTGTCCATTGATGATGTTTCACATCGCCTTAGGACCTACCCAAATGTCACAGCTGACAGCCAAGGAACAATCAAGGAACAGTCTTTCTTGGCAGTGGTGTGGTGCCAGCATTACAATGTTTGAGAGCCTTGCTCTTGACAAGAGGATTTGGCTCACACACACATCAGCTTAGATAAGCCTCCACTGCAGTAAGAGTATAAACACTAATTGGCCAGCCCTGGCAGCCATTTCCACTTTCCTTCCTGGGGCCTACAGAATAGTGACTTCAGCCATCCCAAAGCAGAGACCACAGATCTGCAACAGATATGAGGCTTCAAAAGAAGATGTCACAATGTATAAGCCTCTACCAGTCTAGCTGCAGAAGGGCTCAATCCATACAATATTCACCTCCCCTACGCAAAAACACAAATTCCCCCTTGCACACTGCAAGGTGGCATTTTGACTTTTGAGCAGATCTTGAAGAAAAAACACAAATCCGTCTTTGGCCAGCCGTCCCAGCCTTTCCCCACTACACCCCATATGACCCCTCCCCACACATAGACACTGTCCAATACCAAATATTGTAAAGTTGTTTAAATTCACATAAATGTGACATAACTGGAAAAACTGGGCCCTGGGGCTCCGAGGAAACAAATGACACTTCCCCCTCCTCCAAGGACTGCTCTGACGTCCATCCTCTGCGGGCGGGGGGTCTCTGAAGGACATCCAAGCCCTTTCTGAATGCCAGGAAACCTGACAAAACACAAGCAAAAGAGCTCCAGATGTCAGTCTAATTCCAGGCTTTGTAAATTTAGGAATTTACTAGCAACCCACACACACAATGTGGAACCCAAGCCTGAAATTATCTCATACTTGAAGCACAAGAAACAGACTAACTCCAGATAAGTTTGGATAGTGTATGACCCTAGGGAGCCAAGAAGTTCAAATAAAGTCGAACATGTGAAATTCTGGCTCCTGAACATCCAAATAGAAGAGGGTGCGCTCCAGAAAATGAACAAAGTCCAATCTTTATGTTGGATATTGTAAGGGGTTGTGGTGTCAACAGCCAATATCCCCTTAGCTGTAACCTCTTCAAAGGTTGACACAAGGGAAAGGCCTTAACCATTATGTAGTAAAAGACACATGACTCTGAACACTTGTCAAACACTAATAGCTGGGAAGCTCCTCTGAGATAGGCTCTCCCACACCTCTGCTAACAAGGGGGCACATATCCTGTGTCTGTAGTTCACTGAAAATTTGGCATTCATGCATTGGCAGCATTAATGCCCCAAAAAGTGCTTGGCATCCTCCTCAGGCCAAAAAACTACTGATCTGTGGACAATTATCTCTAGCACAGCGCAGGATGACAATTGGCAAATGTATAGGGATAAAGGTGATGATTACTATATCCTACATCAGAATTATATATTATAATTAAATAACAATAATTAGTCAAGTTAATATATACCGTATTTTTCGTTCCATAAGACGCACTCCCCCCCCCCCCCCCAAAAAAAAAATGGGGGAAAATGTCAGTGCATCTTATGGAGCGAATATGGAGCTGCCGTTCCGATATTTCCACCACCGCCGTGTCAGAATACCGGAACGGACGCTCAGCTCTTCTGTGCAGCAGGACCTTACCTGTTCCTTGGTCCAGCGCTGCACAGTCTTCCTGCGCCGGCTTCATTAGTGTGGACTCTTGGCTGTGACTGCCGGGTGCCCAGTGCGCATGCGCAAGAAGCGCTGCGCTTTGTGAATGGTACGACGTCTTCTGGGACATATGACAGATCCCAGAAGATGACGGACCAATCACAAAGCGCAGTGCTTCTCGCTCATACGCACTGGGCACCTGGCTGTCAGCTGGATGCCCACACTAACGGGAGGAAACTCCGTGGAAGTGGGAGTGTGTACCGGTCATCCCCTGTACTGTGTCCGCAGTCCCTGGTCATCCCCTGTACTGTGTCCGCAGTCCCTGGTCATCCCCTGTACTGTGTCCGCAGTCCCTGGTCATCCCCTGTACTGTGTCCGCAGTCCCTGGTCATCCCCTGTACTGTGTCCGCAGTCCCAGTGGTCATCCCCTGTACTGTGTCCGCAGTCTCTGGTCATCCCCTGTACTGTGTCCGCAGTCTCTGGTCATCCCCTGTACTGTGTCCGCAGTCTCTGGTCATCCCCTGTACTGTGTCCGCAGTCTCTGGTCATCCCCTGTACTGTGTCCGCAGTCTCTGGTCATCCCCTGTACTGTGTCCGCAGTCTCTGGTCATCCCCTGTACTGTGTCTGCAGTCTCTGTCAGGGCTCCCGGTATGACCAGAGATGTGTGAACTGACACAGGGAAACGCAGGCTCAAGTATGGTGTAACAATATAATTTATAAAGGCTATACACAAATATAAAAACGCACAATATACACAAAACCAAACCTCCAACTGATAAAGGAATGTACACAGACGAGCAGTCAGGGCTGGTGAGGTGGAGTGGTCAGGCGGGCCGGGTCAGGAACCATTGGCAGACAAGACACAAAGGAGCAGGCAGAGCGTAGTCAGATGGGCCGGGTCAGGAACAATCAGGCAGACAAGGTACCAAAGGAGCAGGCTGGAGAGTGGTCAGGAATAGCCGGGGTCGGTGCAGGCAGAGTTCTATCAAAGTCAGGAGTCAGGCAGAGGAATCAGGAAGGCAAACGACAGGATCAGACACAAGGGGCTCATGGGCACAATACACCAAGGCACTGACTGCAGGCCTGGCCATTGCTTAAATACACCTCCTGCAATCAGCCTCAGGTGATGGCTTGATTGCAGGAGTGAGATTCTGGCTGCTGAGAGCACCCGCTGGCCAGCCTTGGTACTGCAGCCCACAAGGCAGGTGAGTCCCACCACCATTGGCGAGTCCATTCCTGACACTCTGGTCATTTCCTGTACTATGTCTGCAGTCCATTGGTTCAGAATATTTTTTTCTTGTTTTCCACCTCTGAAAAAACTTAGGTACGTCTTATTGTCAGGTGCGGCTTATGGAGCGAAAAATATGGTATATATTTAGAATCGTCAAATAAGGTATATTATATGAGACATGGCTATTATTGCTAGCATATTTTGATAAGTTGATATATATATAATCATATTCCATTAGCAGCTAAAAATGCTTCTGCTGCTAAAAAGGCTTTTTAAATGATGTTTTGTAAGTTGTTGAAGACTGCTGAGTAATGATGAATGTTTGATAAAGTGTCTCGACAAGTTGTTAGACAGATATTCTGAAGTTAACTGATAAGCATAAAGGTGGGCAGCTAGCCATAAAGAACCCTATAAAAATGTGGACTGCAATCAATCTAATCAGAGCATCTGATGGGCAGGGCATACAATTGTATTCTCGCTAATAAATATATGATCCGGAGCTCTCGTCCGCAAGATTATTTCAGGTGTAAAGCCATGAAATCCCTAAACATTTATTGGTGCCGTGACTCGGATCATCGCTGAAGCCAGGATCACTGCAGCCTATACACATCTCAACTACAGACAAGCAAGGCCTGACAGGTGAGCTTATTTCTCACATAAAAAATTGTCTGTGCTTGGGGAATGGAGAGGAGGCAGGTGATCCAGTTGCTAAACGCATGATTAAAAGAACCCAGACAAGAGTGTGTACATAAATATTGGATATTGTATTGTAATTGATTATCTGTTTGTCTTGTCTTGGCTTCTTGTCTTGCTGCTATTCTCTAACTAACTTTGTGGAGTGTGAATGAATTCCAGGTATAGTCTCTGAATTAGCAGGGATTATATGCTCTTATGGGCAGAAGAACGGTTATTGATATTTCAGCTGGTGACTGCAACAGAGGGGCTATGAGTGTGTAAGAGATTACTGGGTAAGACTTGAGCACTTGAGAGAGAGAGAGACACAGACAAATACATAGAATGCAGAGTACTAAAAACTGCTCTCATACTGTCAGCCCTTACTCCTTTACTGTCTCAGCCTGTACTGTCAAAATTTCACAGGAATCAGAAGGTGTCTAGGTACTCCTTAGGGAACGCAAAGTTACGCACTTTAGTGTCTCCTGGTTATAGCAAACCACCTCAAGTGACCAACAGGCCACCAATTCAAATTAATCCTTCAGACTCTGAAGAATTAAGAATGTGCCAAGCGCCACTGCGGCAAGGATTTCAATAAAGCATGGTCAGTGTATTGCAGTGGACCTAAGCTTCCTTGGGATCCTTTACCGTTTGTCTCAGTCCCTTTCTATATACTTATGTGTAATCTATATATTTTCTTAACTTTGTTTCTTAAGTGTTAAAATAAGTTAACCGCAAAGCCAAGTGTCTTTCGTTGGGCGGACCTCGTTTATTGCTGGGTGAAAGCCAGGAAACTGGCTGTGTTGATACGGAGACCTTGGCAGCTTGGCAGGAGTGTACTAATCTAAGCGAAAAGATCGCAATGTGCTAAACTTTAGTAAATAAGAGGACTGTAACTTTGTTTTATCAACAGGGAAAGTAAGTAAAAATTAAGTAAAGTCTAATGGTGAAAATTTTAAATGAATAATACATTGAATAAAATGTCATACTCCCTTATATATCTTTGAAATTTTAATGGTTGTGTGGGGAGCAATTGCTTGGATTCTATTGACAATTTTTGTATATAAGCAACAATTAAATCCACCTCAGGTCTGTGACACTGTGGGGATACTGGAGAATATGTGAAGTTTCAAAGCATTGTCCATGAATCCATCCATCCAGTTTGACCCAGAGTTGCTATCCCATAGTAGCCCATGATACATGTGATAGAATGGGGGGTTGTAAGTGATGCATTTTTTTTATATATTACTGTATTGTATTTGTTTTCATTTTGGGGTGGAAAGTTTGGAGAGATAGGCAAAGGGGTTTCACTGTCTGTGATCTTAGGTTCCTTTTGTGACCAAGAAAGTGAGTTTGCACCAAGGGGTAAAGGAGTAAATGGTAATAGCGTCTAGAAATAAGATAGGCTTACCTCCCTATTCTGAATGATAGTCACAGTACACTAGAAAGGGTGACTGTGGGTGCATAAGACTACCCCAATAAAGTGGTAGCAGCAAGGGATAAGTGGGGTTTCTGGGAGCATAAACCACTTAGTGGTTGAACCAGGTAACCTGAATAGCCAGCCCTTTTAGTTCACCGTCCGGGGTTGAAAGCATGCCTTCTTTGTGAGGGGAAGAAGGTGCAAGAGAATTGAGTGTCCTGTTCTGGGGGCAAGAAAGAAACACCTTCTGGGAGAAGAGTGTGGTGTGAGATAAGGAGAAGCCTTGGCCAGGTTTCTGCCTACTCAATTCTGAAGAGGAAAAGTGAAATATAGAAGAAACCAGGGATTTCTAAAAATGGGAAATCAATTGGCGGAGGCATTAAAATTAAGGGACCCCCTTTGACTCCTTACCAAGAGTTAAGAAATCGTTATGGCAAGTGGGTAGTAAAATTTTTAAAGAAATGGTGCAAACTGACACAGATCACAGACTACCCCTTACTAATCCAAGGAACATATGATATTTGTGCTTGGACAGCCTTACACCATAAGTAAAATGACAGGCCCAAATGAAATGGCAGCTTGGGCATGATGGAGTAGTGAATCTTACAATAAGTGAGCAAAACTCTTACTGGCAGTGGTGCCAAAAGAGGTAGAAGAAGAGGGTGACATATCAGAGGAACTGATAATGAGCACCCACTTATTAGCAAAAACACTCATAAGGGACCCTAGCAAGCCAGTAAAAGAGGGAATGTCTCCAGGCAGTAGTGAGGACACTAGTAGTGGTCATCTACTCCCATATGCAGCAGCTCCCTCTGCACCTAAGAGAAGCCCCCAGTGGAAGGAGGGAGTGGGGGAAAAAGAGGAATTGAGTATGGGAACATTAAGGGAAGCAAGTGGATACAGTACCTCTTCAGGAGGACAGAGTCCACATGATATAACTTTATATACTCCTCTGCCACCTGATGAAGATTGGGAAAAAGAGGACGGTCCAGATACCACACAGGAGATAAGTAGGGGGCCCTATTACAATCTTAGGAGAGGAAGAAAAGGGGTAGACAGAATAAACCCAGTAAGGGAGCAAAGAGCATTTGACCAAGCTGGTAAATTAACAGGACTCCAAGGGAGATGAATACCTTCCCAAAGCCAAGACACAGTCCTCACTTGTTTGCCCAACAAATATGTCTGTCCAATGCAGCAAATTGGACAGACATGTGTCACTGTCACGATATAAGGTCAGGTTCAGAGACCAGTTGCTACAGCAGTTGTAAGGCTTACCTGAAACCAGCAGGATTGGTACACCAGCGGCCCACCGTGGGAATGACGCAGGCTCACCTGAGGTGCGGGGTCTAAGCATCCACCGGTCTTCCCCAGAGCTCCTAATGGTGGAGATGGATTTGGCTGCGTGTGAATGCCAGGTCGCAGATCTCAGGATCACCCCACCAGGGAATGAGCAGGCTGGAAACCAAAAGCGGATCAAACAGTTCAGGGATCAAACAGAAGCGGAGTCAGTCACAAGCCAAGGGGGTCGGTCACCAATGGTAGTAGATAGGATGAGGCAGAATCAGAGTCAGTAGCAAGCCAAAGGTCGGTAACGTAGATGAAGACAGCAGCAGGACCAGTAAGCAGGATATTGGCTGGTTAGGCACAATAATCTGGCAACCAGGAAGTGCAGAGACATGGCTTTTATAGGAAGTTCATGGGAGGAGCAAGGAGTTCAAGGTTCAAGCCAAAAGCGGGCAAAGGCAGGATCATCCAAAGAATTGTCAAGGGAGCTGTCCAGCATTCCAGGTGGCTCAGCGAGAAGAAACACTGTCTCTCACCGCAGAAGGCCCAGGTTCAATTCCAGGCTCTGACAGTACTCCCCTCCTCACAGGACGTCCCCTGGACGTCTTACTATCAGGCTTGTGGGGAAACCTCTGGTGGATAATTTCATATATCTATATTGTACCGCGCTCCAAAATTAATAAATCTAAGTGCTCTAAATAAATAAATAAATAATTGTATATAACTAAAAATTCAATAATAATCTAAATACTTAAATTCATAATTGCATAATACTTGAATCCATGATAGAAGTGAAAAAATTCCATTAATATTGTAAATCAATACATAAAAAACTTTCGTG